CCTGGGCAGCTCAGTCGGTTAAACGTCTGACTCTTGATTTCAGCTCAGGTCATGATCTCAGGGTTGTGAGATTGAGCCGCATGTCAGGCTCTGCTCTGGGGGTACAGCCTAAGACTGTCTCCCTTTCTCTCTGCTCCATATCCATTCTCCTGCTTGTGGACATGTGCGCTTTCTCTCTCTCTCTCTCTCTCTCTCTCTCTCTCTCTCTCTTTCTCTCAGATTTTAGCTCTTTCTGTAATATTTTAAGTCCTTGAAGAGAGCAAGTATTCATAGATTACTTGCGCAGTTAGAAGGCACTGGAAGACACCTGAGCTCTAAGGCTGGACCTCACTATAAATTTGGATAAGATACTTCCTTCCACAGACCAATGTGTTCCCCATCTGCATAATGAGCAAATTAGATCAGATGATCCCAGTGGTTCCTTTCAACTCAGAAGTTCGAGAATCTTTAAATTGTAAACGTATTCCAAGGGCGGTGCTCAAAAGTTTCAGGGCTTACTGCCATAGGATCTGGCACTCAGTAGGCATCTTTTGGAATGATGCTGAATGTTGAATAATAATCTTATGCAGTTTTAATATTAAGAATAGATGTTCGCCAGTAAATTTTGCAGGTGAGTGATCTGCACCCCGCCCCCACCCACTCTGGATAAATATCAGAGAGCCATGGCAGTGCAACAAATACAAATATAGGCTTTGGATGGATTTGAACCTGGGTTCAAAGGTTGGCTCTTCTGGGATGCCTGGGTGGCTCAGTGGTTGAGCATCTGTCCTGGGCTCAGGTTGTGATCCCAGGATTGTGGGATCAAGCCCCGCATTGGGCTCCCCGGAGGGAGCCTGTTTCTCCCTCTGCCTATGTCTCCGCCTCTCTCTCTGTGTCTCTCATGAATAAATAAAATCTTTAAAAAAAAACAACAAAAAAATCCTTAACCCCCCCCCCCTCCAAGACTGGCTCTTCCACTTACTTGCTATGGGACATTGATCAATTACCGGCCCTCTGGGAGTCACAGTCCGTGCTGAGATATGACCAGGTATGGTCAATATTTTTGCTCCAGCCTTTATATTATGGTTAGTTATTCACTCAACAAACATTTACTATTTATTGTTTGAGAGAGAGACAGAGAAAGAGATACTGTGGTGTGTGGGTGGGTAGGGAGGGGTAGAGGGAGAAGGAGAGAAAGAATCTCAGGCAGGCTCCATATCCAAGAATCCAATGCAGGGCTTGATCTTACGACCCTGAGATCATGACCTGAGCCAAAATCTATCAGACCCTTAACTGACTGAGCCATCCAGGCACCCTCTCAACAAACATTTATTGGCACCAACTGTGTGCTAACCCCAGGAATGCAGACGTAAAGAAAGTTGACAAGGACCCTTATGATCCCTCCTTGCCTCCTGTTCTATCACTGTCCTTGGTGTAGGCACCACTGTTCTGAACTGTCCTGGGACAAACCTGAGGACTTGGAAGGGGGGAAAGGAAGGAATAGGGGGGCTAGGCTCTGGACAGCCTGCCTGGGGATGCCAAGGACAGATGCTGCTTGAGGCACAGCTATAGGAGCAAGGTAAGACTGTGCCTGGACCAGTTGTGGGCCTCATATTCCTATTCTGTCATAGTGAGAGTAATATCTGTCACCTGGGGTTCCTCTGGGCATTGAGTAGATACCAACATCAACAAAGCCAATTTTCTTGATCTCCTTCTAGGTGCCAGTCTCTGAATGAAGACACATTTGTGCATCATCTCATTAACCTGACAACAACCCAGATTGATTCCCAAAGAAACACAGACAGAGAAGTTCAGAAATCTTACCCCAAATCTCACTGCCCCAAGTCCTCCATGAAGGTTGCAATCAACCTCTTCCACGTTCATTAATGTTGCGCTTTTGACTCCTCCAGTGAATCAGGAGTGTTCTCAATGTTCTCTTGAATGGTGAGCCCTTTCCAGAAGGTTTCCAATTTACTTTGGCCAGACACATCAGAGGACACGCTATCTCTGGCGGCTCTAGCATTTCAAATGGATTTCTTAAATAATAAGATCTGAAAGTTGAAATTACTCCTTGGTCCATGGGCTACAGAAAGGATGCTGTGTTAGCAGGCATGGAAACATCATGAATCCTGCATGTCTCCACTCCATCAGAGCCCATGGGTGACCAGGTGTGCTGCCAAAGAGCAGTGCGATTCTGAAAGGCATTCTTTTTTTTCTGAGCAGCAGGTCTCAACAATGGGCTTGAAATATTAGGCAGCCTTATTGTAAACAGATGTACTGTCATCTTGGCTTTATTGTTCCATTTATAGAGCATGGGCAGAATAGATTTAGTATAATTCTTAAGGGCCCTGGGATTTTCAGAATGGTAAGTAAGCACCGGCTTCCACTCACAGACACCAGCTACATGAGCCCCTCACAAGAGAGTCAGCCTGTCCTTTGAAGCTTTGAAGCCAGGCACTGCCTTCTCCTCTCTAGCTATGGAAGTCCTCTGGTAGTAAGCTCTTGCATCTACACTGGAAATCTGTTGTTTAGTGTGGCCACCTTCGTGAATGATCTTAGCAGGATCTTCTGGAGAACTTACTGCAGCTTCTCCATGAGCACCTGTTGCTTCACCTTGCACTCTGTGTTATGGAGATGGCTTCTTTCCTTAAGAAAGCCAACCTTTCCTCGTGAGCCAACCTCTGCTAGCTTCAAATGTTTCTTCTGTAGCCTCCTCACCTCTCTCAGCCTTCACAGAATTAAAGGGAATTAGGGCCCTGCTCTGGTAACTAGGCTTTGGTTTAAGAGAGTGTTGTGCTTCCATCCAGACCACTCACACTTTCTCCAGATTAGCAATAATGCTGTTTTCTTTTCTTATCATTCATGTGTTCCCTGGAGTAGCACTTGTCATGTCTGTCAAGATCTCTTCCTTTGTGTCCACAACTTGGCTAAGTGTTTGGCACAAGAGGCCTAGCTGTTGGCCTCTTTCAGCTCTTGATGTGCCTTCCTCACGAAGCTGAATCATTTCTAGCTTTTGATTTAAAGTGAGAGATGTGTGACTTTTCCTTTCACTTGAACATTTAGAGGCCACTGTAGGTTTATTAATTGGCCTAAGTTCTTTTTAAAAAAGATTTTGTTTATTTATTTGAGAGAGAGAGCATGAGCAGGAGAGGGGAGAGGGAGAAGCAGACTAGACTCCCTGCTGAGCAGGGAGCCTGAGGCTCAATCCTAGGACCCTAGGGTCATGACCTCAGCCAAAGTCAGACACTTAGACAGCTGAGCCAAGCAGGTGCCCCTTGACCTAATTTCAATATTGTTGTGCCTCAGGGAATAGGGAAGCCCGAGGAGAGGGAGAGAGATGAGGGAATGGCTAGTCGTGGAGAAGTCAGAACACATACAACATTTACTGATTAAGTTCAACATCTCACATGGATGTGTTATTCGTCACGCCTCAGAATAATTACAATAGCAACATCAAAGATCATTGATCACAGTTCATCATAACAAATATAATAAGGAGAAAGTTTAAATATTGCAAGAATTACCAAAATGTGATGCAGAGAGCTGGAGCAAGAGCTGTTGGAAAAAATGGCACTGATTGACTTGCTTGACAAACCTCCAATTTGTAAGAAACACAATATTTGACAGTGCAATCGGCGAACACGATAAAGCAAGGTATGCCTGTACAATTCTAATTATGAAACTCGGATATGATGTTAATGATCATTCACATCCTGCTATGGCCACCCCTGGTTCTGCCTCTGCTGCCTTATACACTGGCTAATGGGGGAAACCAGGGGGTATGTATTTATCGGGAGAGCACAAAGCTCTCATCCTTTGGGGTTCACAGAAGAGGTGGCTCTTTTTCCATATAGGCTTTTGTTTTTAATTAAGAGCAGTAATCAGATAATCTTGCTTTAATTAACTCCCCAGATGCATCCCCACTCTTGGAGCCTCTCTTTGATATTTTCGACGTCAAATTTTTCAGCCTAAGATTATCTGCAGGCATGCATCAGACATTTGCCATTTGCTGAATATGCCCAAAAGGTTAGCATGAATTTCCACTCCCTTCTTTTTGTAGAGACAGCATCCCCCTCCTTCAGAGCAAATACATTTCAAGTCAGGATGGGGTTGTCTGCATTTGCTCCTTGAGTCTGTGACTTTTCTTTCTACTTTATCACACTGGTTCTTCTGGTATCAGAAAAGCAGTATGTATTTCATCTTAATTATGCATCTGCTTAATCCATAACTTCTGATTTATGGCCATTAGCTCCTAATTACAAGAAGGCCACCCTTGAAAAGGAAAACCAAATGAGCTGAGAGAAGCAAAGCTGGCTGAAAAACAAGAGTGAAGATGGATTTAAGTCCTAAACTAAGAGTGGATCCCAAGGCCCGTTTGTCAGAGGAACCTATTGTTGGCAATCCTACAGATTTGCAAGGGTTTATCTTAGGTCATAACTGAATCCGTCTCTCTCTGTGATGGGGAAAATATAAAACCTTGACATTCAAAACAAAGCTAAAAATTCTAAGGGAGAAATCATCCAGCCCAACTGTCTCCATACTGATTTGCCATTAAAAGAACACCCCAAAATATAGAAATGCTTAAGTGAATATGTTTACAAAAGAAAAATTAAAATCCAGAACTACCTATAAACAGAAAATAAGTATGACTTGCTTTAGATAGAAGGCAACTATAATAAATCCACAGTTATTTAAAAAATCTTCACCACATGCTATTTAAAAATCATTGGGAAAACCTGCTTTAGGGAGGGTTGCATTAGGTTCTCATCATTTCAACTGTTTGGAGCAGTAAACAGAATTATATTTCCTGTTGCACAAATGAGGAAATGAAGGCTTGGAGAGGATCATCGACCTGCCTAAAGTCATTCAGCTAAGAAGTGGCAGGGTTATAGCTCAAACTGTCCAAGGCCATGCTTATCCTTGCTGTAGCTGGAGAAAAAGGAAGACATGAACAACAAGCTTCAAGGCATCAGATTCTTCAAGTTATCGCCCATCCAGAGGCAGCAGAGGGATAATCTTACCTGGGGCTGAGAATGTGGCTGCTGCTGGCTGACTGTCGAGAGGGGCTCCTCATGGTATCTGTGGCCAGGGACAGCGTACAACTCAACCAGGACTGCAGACTGCCCTCTGGCTGGGAACTGAGGATGGAGACATTATCTCTAGAACCAGAAAACAGGGCGCTGTCAACACAATGACAACCACACTAACAGCAATAACTAGATATTCACCCCTAAGCATAAGCCATGTGCTACAACCTGTACATGCATAACCTCAATCAGTGCTCACAACACCATCCCTGAGAGATGGGAGCCAGTTCTGTCCCCATTACATAGATGAGAGTAATGGGATCTGAGGAGGCCAACTTGGGTCTTGTCAAGGTCATCCACTTAGTCAGTGATGAAGCTGGAGTGCAAATCCTGGTCTCTCCGATTCCAATGTCCACGCTCTTAACCACATTCTTCCTTAGATAGGTACTCTAATACAGATGTTGAGGCAACTCAGATTTTAGAGTAAAAGTTGGCGCTGAATTTTATACCAAATAATATGTCCATGGAATATGCCAAGTGTGAAGATCTTAACTCTTTGCCTGCCTTAACCAGAATGGCTTTGTAGATAGATGACTTTTATATCCTTTAATTCTTAAATTAGGCCTTGTGTGGGCCTGTCATTGATGTGGGTACTCAACAATGGTTTTATATTCTGGTTTATATACTCACACAACTATATCAATATTGATATGTATATCTATATATATATATCTATATATATATCTACCTATACTTGTGTCTGTCTATAAATTTTTTTGATTATTTATAGAATACTCTATGGTGGGCAACATGGGAAGGAGCTTTAAATATGAATCCAACATTGACCCTGTCCTCAAGACTCCATCTTAGAGGAGTACACATCTATAGAAATAACCACAAAATAAAGGAGAAAATTATTAATGCCAAGAGAGGGACAGAAGGTAGGAGAATAAGGAAGGAGCATGGATTTGCTTCTTGGAGGCATAAGGGAAGGCATTAAGTAATGATAGTTGAGCCACAACTTGTTTAAAGGTTGGTTATCTCTAGAACCAGAAAACAGGGTGCTGTCAGCACCTGTTCTTCTGCCTGAAGAAAGGAATTTGAGCTGGAAGGAACAGCATACACATAACTATGGGTAGGGCATGGATGATATGGAAAGCAGGAGTCCCAGGTAGAGAGGGAAGGAAGGGTCAGATATGTGTGGGGCTCAAATGTCAGTCTGAAAAGTCTATTCTGAGGCAACAGGGAGCCATTGAGGATATTTGAGGATGTCAGTGCCATGCCAAGTGGTAGGCTTCTCTCTGTCTGGAAGAAGTTGCACAGTTCAATAACATGTCCCCAGTGCTATATGTTATGATCATGGGGTCAGAGCTATCATAGACATTGCTAGTAATTCTCCAAGTGGGTGTGGATGTTCCCACTGGACACAGAGAGCCAGGGGCTTATTCTTGGCTTCAATGTCAACTGCCCAGTTCTATTTGGGGTTAACTTACATCTCTTTTCTGCCACTGCTGTAGTCCACTGCTGTCTGGACACTAGAAGGAGACACAAGAAAGAGTCTGTTATCCTTGTGCTGTTGGGAAAGAACATAGTCCTTGGTGTTAGACCAATTTAGGTTTGAGTTCCACTTCCAACCTTTGCTCCTGTGTGATCTCAGGCAAGTCACTTGCCTTCTCTGACTCCCCTGCGTTCCTTTGTAAAATGTGGTTGTGAATAGGACTGAGGTGTGGAGCAGATGCTTCCTGTGAAGCAAGATAATCCCTAGAAAGATCTCGGCATGGTTCTTGACAAATAAATAGTGTTGATTAAAAGGAAACAACCATGATCACTGCTCTTATTTTAGGACAACCGCTACTGCTATTATTAACAGCACCATTACTGTCAACAAGCCATGCATTTGCTTTATGTTCTTTGTGAGTGCTAGCGAATCAGACAAGAGGGCAGGTGGCCAGCTTTCTAGGGCATTCTGGGAAATGCTGAGACTAATTACAGTAGTAGCTATTCTGTAGGGAGCATCCCTTCATTCAACAAATATGCTTTACCTGCGATCTCACCTAACCATCCTGCCTCTGTCCATTTAGTGAACAAAGAAACTGGCACCTTTGCTTAAGATCACACAGCTTTGAATCCCAGGTCTGTAAGAGCTATTAACCTCATGCTCTTCATCAAAAGGCAGTTGCCCAGTGTGTGGGTGTAGACAGCGAAACCACAACCTCAGATGCCTAAGACCTCATTTGAATCCTGGGTTCACAGGCCAGGGCCTCCCAGTTTTATTCTTTGTGTGGAATCTGGGAAATTTCTTCCTTAAAAAACCTGGTCATGGGGTAGCCCAGGTGGCTCAGAGGTTTAGTGCAGCCTTCAGCCCAGGGCCTGATCCTAGGGACCCAGGATCGAGTCCCGCATTGGGCTCCCTCTGCCTGTGTCTCTGCCTCTCTCTCTCTCTGTCTTTCATGAATAAATAAATAAAATCTTAAAAAAAAAAAAAAACCTGGTCATGGGGCACCTGGGTGGCTCAGTGGTTGAGGGTGTGCCTTTGGCTCAGGTCGTGATCCTGGGGTCCTGGGATTGAGTCCTGTATCATACTCCCCACTGGGAGCCTGCTTCTCCCTCTGCCTGTGTCTCTGCCTTTTTCTCTGTGTCTCTCATGAATAAATAGGTAAAATCTTGAAAGAGAAAGAAAGAAGAAAGAAAGAAAGAAAGAAAGAAAGAAAGAAAGAAAGAAAGAAAGAAAGAAAGAAAGAGAAAGCAAGCCAGGTTGCCTCTCCAAGGGTTGTACCTGTGGCTCCTTGGTCCCTACCCTCAAGGGTCTGTTTATCTTGGGGCTTCTATTCAGACATGTCTGTCCCCACCAGGACAGCAAGAAGCCCTCCTGAACCAAAAACATGCCTTATTCATCCATTTGGCTCCAGTGTTCAGGCCAGACCAGAAGTTCTCTCAGATACTGCTTTGTGAATTCAGAGAACTTCTGCTGTGAGCCAAGTCCAACCTATCAATGTTTTTATAAAAAAGTTTTATTAAAATACAGCCCCACTAACTCATTTCCATTTTGCCCATGACTGCTTTTGCTCTATAGTAGCAGAGGAGTTGCAAGAAAGATCATATGACCCCTGAAGCCTAACATACTTACTATCTAGCCCTTTAAAGAGAAGATTGATGTGACTCCCCCCCCCACCACCACCACCACTACCACAGTAAAACAAAAGCAACTTTTGTGAATGAGCCTCGGAGTGGAAGAATAATCACCCCCGGAGATGTCAATATCCAAATCCTCAATCCCAAGAACCTGTAGCTATGTTTCTTGACCTAGTAAAAGGGACTCTGCAGATGTGGTTAAGGCTAAGGATCCTGAGATGGGGAGGTTATCCTGGATTATTTGGGTGGCCCAATGTATGCACTTACAGCCTTCAAAGCAGGGAACTCTCCCCAGGTTTGGTCAGAGGAAGACATGGCTACGGTAGAATGGCCACAGATGCAACATTGCTGGCTCTGAAGATGGAAGTGTGGCAAGGCAAGGTGTGTTGATACCTTCTACAAAATGGAAAAGGTGAGAAAATGCATTCTACCCTAGAGTCTCCAGAAGGAACACAGTCCTTCTGACTCCTTGACTAGGCCAGGGAGATTCTTGTTGGGCTTCTAATCATCACAACTCCAAGATTATAAAATCCATGTTGGTTTAAGATACCAAATTTGTGACAATTTGCTATGGCAGCAATAAAAAGCCCTGCAATAGGACAAAAGTGTCTTTGGTGAGTGATCTTGAATCTTCTTGGGGATCTAAACACAAAGTCTTGATGCAGCTTTTTAACAAACTATTTGAAAATACTGAAAAATGACACTTTGTGAACTGGAGCAGTCCACGTGAGTAGATCCAAGTCTGATCCTGCTAGTGACCCGAGTCTTTCTACGGCTCTACTGGGCTAGGGTTGTGGACAGAATAGAAGAGTGAGAAAAAGGCAAACAAACCCTAGAGGCCTCGCGGTGTGGTCTTTCCCACCCTCTTTCCTGCTTGGGATCTCAGTTTCCCCATCTGTGATCTAAGGAATTTAGGTCAATGAGCTGAGGCCTTGTCCAGCTTAGATGCTTGATGATTATATAAACTGAAAAGGATGTACTTGTCCCTAAAGCAGGAGTCCTAAGTCATATTGGTGAGAATCTTTTGTGAAGAATCTAGAACGTACACTTCTACTTCTCCAAATGCACAAACCCTGATTCAAATTTTGGGGCAATGCCTGAGACGTCATGGTATCATCTAGACTTCATGCATGGAAACCCCCTCCCGTGAACTACTGACCCCAGGCTAAGGACACTGGTTCCAGCTAGCCAAAGAAACTAAGGATGTGGTAGGCAAGGGCCCTTGGAGGCAGAGTAGTTCCAATGAATAGGGCTAAACCTTCTGAGTGTTGATTGAAAGAAAAAAAACCTGAAGACACCTGTGGCCCAAGCTATTGAGTTGTAAATGGTGTGACATTCCTCTTTAAAAATAGAGAGGCTTAGTTGTACGGGGAACAGGAACAGGTTTTCTTGTGGCCACAGACAGAGAGGATAGGCAAACGCTGGCTGCAACAGGGATGGGATTTGGGAAATGTTGTGTGTGTGTGGGGGGGCTTCCCACCCCAGGATTCCATGACTCTGGATTAAAAGAGGCTGTGCTCACAGGTCCTAGTGGGTGTCCAGGCAACTTCACATCTCCATAGTCCTAAGGCAACTTGCCTTGAGCGCTATAGGAGACAAACTCTCTCTGCTGGGCAGCCAGGTGTGCTCCCTGACTCGCTTCATTTGACTGAACAACAATCTTTAATTGAACCTGACCCAGGAAAGTCTTTACAGGACAACACATCTAATCAAAGCACCTGTTGGTGTTAATCTGTGCCCACTATTCACCCTTGCACGAGTGTCAGCCCCATGGCTGAACTCAGTGTTTAAATCTGTCCCCTTCTGAAAGGGCTCTCCCCTCACCCCAGACTAAAGAACCGTTCACTTTGAGATGTATAGTTGTCCCCGACGTCTGCTCTCCATTCCTTTCCATCCACTTCATGCTGCCCACCTCGCCAGATGCCAAGGAGGCTGATCTATCTGGGCCACATCCATGGGCTCCCTGCCCTGTGACCTCCCCTTGGGTGTGGCCAGTGGGGAACTTAGATGGCAGCTGGAGGGAAAGATGGAAGAGAAAAAGCTGGAGTATTTATTCTCTTAGAATTCTCCTTCCTGGGGCACCTGGGTGGCTCAGTGGTTGAGCTTCTGCCTTTGGCTCAGGTCATGATCCTGGGGGTCCTGGGATCAAGTCCTGCATCAGTCTCCCCACAGGGAGCCTGCTTCTCCCTCTGCCTCACTCTCTAGGTCTCTCCTGAATAAATAAAATCTTTAAAAAAGAAAGAAAGAAAGAAAGAAAGAAAGAAAGAAAGAAAGAAAGAAAGAAAGAAAGAAAGAAAGAAAGAAAAAACAGAATTCTCCCTCCTGCTTCTCCTTGTGTTCTCCAGTCCTCAAACCAAAGCCAGAGCTCCTCCTGCCAGGCAGCCCTCTTTACATTCTCCCAGGCATTACTACTACCCCCTGGGTGCTGTACCACCCCTGGTGCTTCTCTACACTGGGTCCATATTTGTAAATGGTCCTTTTCAGGCCCCCTCTTTTGGGGCATGCTTCTGGCTCCTGCCAGACGCTGACTGTTACAATAGCTCATCTCAGTGCTGGTTTCTACCTTAACAGAAAGAACTGGATTTTCCGATCCAGTATTTTCTATGAGAAATAAGCAAACAAACAAACAAAAAAAAAAGAAATAAGCAAACAGCAAGCATGAACCATCACTGCTCTACCAATGACTGTTATACCCTTTATCACCATGTGGGGAAAAAAAATGATGAAAAATCTCAAGAAGCAATCTTGTAAGAGCATAAGATTATCAGCAATCATTATAATGCCTTCTAAGCCCATGACTCTGGAAAAGAACCAGCCACGAGAAATAAAAAGATATAGATAGGTACGGAAGCTTATTGAAAATAATCCTACTTTTTTATAGACATTTTAATCTGTGTGCTGGTTGCTTTTGCCTGTGAACCCATGTCATTGAATTTCCACAGACCTTCTGAGGTTAAAGTCAAGGTCTGCTGGGCATCCCGCTTGTCAACTTTTGATGAATTACCGTCCTGGCCAATTGTGGTGTCCGGCCTGCACCCTGTACCAGCCTTCATTTTAGATGGTCTCAACAACACAGAGGATGTTTAAAATAAAGAGTCTGGGTTGAGAAGGGTTTCAGGAAGCCACATCACACCTTATGGTCTGAAAGATTGCAGGAGGCACTTATCAGCTTTACCCTGTGGTGGTCTACAGCTTGGGGATAGGGAGAGGAGAAAGGTTTTCAGGCAGAAACAGGAGTTTTGTTCTGTGTGATCCTGAAACTCATTGAACCAGATGGGTAGAAATCACCCTCCAGGGTGACTTTTTACAAGTCACGGATTATTGGTCCTGGCAGATAACTGGAGTTTGTGCAGCACGGTCTACAGAGCCCTTGTGTTCTGAGAGACCTCTAGGAGGCTCCCAA